GATTTAATCTGAGATAAATCCTCAGCCTATAAATTAGTTTAATCAAGGGCGAAGTGGGTATATTGCATGATTGATTTAATGATACCTGTTTGGTACCATAAATAGCAATATTTTTCTATATATTTAGTTAACTTTGGCATTGATTTGATTTATTGAAAAATGAGATGTGTATTCTTTTTGGACCAAAGGAGTAGTTCAAAAGGTGAGTCCGATGTAACAAATTTTCAGTCATTGAGCTTGAGCCCGTCCTTATCCTCTGGGTCCTGCGTTTCCTTGCTCACCTAGTGTAAAAAGTTACTATGTTCTTTTAGTGCCAGCATTTAAAAAAAAAGGTTTAGCGTCAACAATACGACTTGAAACATACACATTTTGGTTTCCCGTTGAATCCACACCGTTGCTGGCGCTATCATCGCACGGAGCCAAAAGAAAATTGAAGAACAGACAACCACCGCAGTAGTCACGGCCTCACTAGCACGTTCTCCGCGGCGGGACCCAAAGTTATATTCCACACCAGCCGCAACTCAATGCGCGGACAGCAATGCCCGCGCCACTGGACACTGATGAAGCCCCGGCGGTCGAGGTCGATGATCATGCGCCGGTTAGGATTTGGCCATCGTACACCTCGGCCGCGGCGGGCGTGGGCGCTCTCCGTCCGTCCCACGGCAGCAGCTCGCGCCCTTGCTCCGGCAGCCTCGCCGCCCTTGCTGGACGTGGGACGGACGGAGAGCGCCCACGCCACGCCGCGGCCGAGATGTACGAGGCAAAATCGTAACGGGCGCGTGATCCTCGACCTCGACGGGATTAGAAGATGCGACAGATTTAAATACGCGCATGTGGAAAAACGATCCCGAGGTCGGTGACGGGAAACCACCTGGACCCGACCCTTGTGGACAGTGACGAAGCCAGAAAAAAAATTAGGAGGGGCTGAAACAAAAGAATAGAGGCTTTTTTATCTTCTCTTAACCTTAGCCCCTCCTACCTAATACATATATGCATAAAATTTTAAGGGAGGGCTTAAGGGGGCTCCACGTGCGCAGGATGGGTAGGGGGGGCTAGAGCCCCCCTAGCCCCACCGCTGGCTTCGTGCATGCTTGTGGAGACTGGAGGGGTAGGTAGGTCGACCCGAGGCAAAAAAAAAAAAGAAAAAAAAAGAAAAAGAAAAAGAAAGGAGAGAGAGAGAAGAAGAAGCAGCAGCCCGAGGCTGAGGCTGAAGCCCAGAAGGCCTAACAAGAAATTGACGCCAATTTTCAGAACGGATATAGAGCTTCTGGTGCGCCCGAACAAACTTCTGTTGCGCCCCCTCACGCGGCAGGTACGTAAACGTAACAGACTCCGTTCCATGGCTAGCCGCAAGAGAAACCGCATGATCGTCAAACCGTCGGCTGCGAACCGCATGACACGGAGATACGAAACACAAAGAGAAGACTACGTGCACGCATGGTTATTTTGTGGTTAGCTAGCATGCCAAAACTCGAGATAGAAAAGTAATAATTAAATAAACAGACATATAAGCTTATCCTATATATAAACTACAATACAAGGGACATTAAAAAGGCATGAAATCAGTATTATATATGTATAAACATGCCATGCACATGGTATATACAGCAGCCCTTGTAATGCATGCAATATATTTGCAACCCCACTTTACTTTACAGGTGCCACTTTTACTACTCTGAATTTTTTTACTCGCTGCTGACCTGCTGTTACATCAGACAGCATTCATTCACAGTGGCAAACGAGGACAGAAAAAAATGTGCGGAACGGATCCGATCTCCAAACCAAACAGGCTGTAAATTCATGTACTGTACATAGCTTGCCAGCGGAAAGGATCGGTTTGCATCGCTGGAGAAGCGCTGCACGTCGCCGTCCAGATCGATCTCCCCTGCCTCCACTCTATAAATAGACCCCCCAAGCTCACCGCAACATTCATCAAGCCCAAGCTCAGTGACCACACACTAAGCAGAGAGCAAGCCAGTGAGGTCCCTGAGAGTGAGAGCGTAGCCAGCCAGCCACAATGGCGGGGAACGCGCTAGCCAACTATGTCCAGGTCTACGTCATGCTCCCGGTAAGCTGCTTAAGAATCATGCGATGCAACTGCAGCATTGTTAGCATACCGCTACCAGTATATATAACGAACAAACGAAGAGATCGACCTAAACGAATCATGACAATCCGAAAAAGGAAAGATTAAGCTGAATGATTTACCTTTTTTCCAATATATATATAGGAAAATTATTTCCTACTCCTAGGGAGTAGTTACTCCCATGTGTATATCTCTAAATTTATGGTGTATATGACCCGACAAAGTGTATGTAGATGGAGTATATCATCATACTAGACCATCTAGAGTACTATGTATGACAAGTATATATGTATACTTAGAGTATATGGTTATACTTATTTTATATGCTATTATCATAGTATTATATAATATATTAAAAAATATGTGCTCTTTTAAAAAAAATCATATAGTAAAGATCTGGAGTATTAATATTAGTATGTCAATATACTCAAACTGATAAATGAGTATGTACACATACGCAACATGATTTATTGATTATGGGAGTATATATATATATATATATATATATATATATATATATATATATATATATATATATATATATATATATATATATATATATATATATATATATATATATATATACCTTGTAGCCGACTATAAAATAACTTATTCTGTAGTCACTTTGAGTTACGATAATTACTATGTTAATTTACGAAATTTTAGTAACTCCATACTAAGTGGTTTACTATAACGTTATGATAAATATCTCTATGTGTTATAGTAACCCAACTATCGTAAATATGTATTGATATTATCGTAAATTAGTATATAAAATTATCGTAAATGGAGGTGGCTACGGAATAACTTATTTTGTAACTGGCTCCTGAATATACTCTGGCTACACGATAATTACTATATTAATTTACGAGATTATAGTAACTCCTTACTAAGTGGTTTACTATAACGTTATGGTAAATATCCCCATGTGTTATAGGAACCTAACTATCGTAAATACGTATTGACATTATCGTAAATTAGTATATAAAATTATCGTAAATACAGGTGGCTACAGAATAACTTATTTTGTAGCTACACTCCACACACACACACACACACACATATATATATATATATATATATATATATATATATATATATATATATATATATATATATATATATATATATATATATATATATATTTCTAATGTTCGAATATAGGATAAAAGTTTCTAACAGGGCCATTATGTTGAAATATGGCTTTAAATTATAGTTGCATATCGGGTACATATATAACCACGGGTTTATCGCCCTTTTCGTTTCAACTTATCAGCCTGGTTATGGTACAATGTTTTTCTCTCACAATAAACAGCATCAGTCAGTTTATTAGCTGCAAAAACCATCAGCCGAACAACTCCATAAGTTCAAGTAGAGCATAACCATACTCAATACCATGAACTTTTATCCATTAATATACTCATGGGTATGTAAATTAGTCCACACCCATATGCGCTAGTAATAGAGTGAAAACTCCCGTATACTCTAGTAATAGAGTAAAAGCTCATAGGATTTCAAGTCGCTTCAAGCTGAAGGTATATGCATTGGCATCATCCTAGGCCCTACCTCCGACATGGTCGGTGTCCGGGTACGCGATTTGCTGGCGATCCCAGTCCCACACCAGCCGCACTCAATGCGCGGACAGCAATGCCGCGCCACTGGACACTGATGAAGCCCCGGCGGTCGAGGTCGAGGATCACGCGCCCGTTACGATTTCGCCGTCGTACACCTCGGCCGCGGCGTGGCGTGGGCGCTCTCCGTCCGTCCACACCGGCAGCCTCGCTTTCGCACGTTAATGACCCCGCCGATTAGAAGATGCGACAGATTTAAATACGCGCATGTGGAAAAACGATCCCGAGGTCGGTAACGGGAAACCACCTGGACCCGACGACCCTTGTGGAGACTGGAGGGGTAGGTAGGTCGACCCGAGGGGAAAAAAAGAAGAACGGAGAGAGAGAGAGAGAGAGAAAGGAAGAAAAGAAAGGAGAGAGAGAGAGAGAGAGAGAGAGAGAGAAGAAGCCCGAGGCTGAGGTTGAAGCCCAAAAGGCCTAACAAGAAATTGACGCCAATTTTCAGAACGGATATAGAGCTTCTGGTGCGCCCGAACAAACTTCTGTTGCGCCCCCTCACGCGGCAGGTACGTAAACGTAACAGATTCCGTTCCATGGCTAGCCGCAAGAGAAACCGCATGATCGTCAAACCGTCGGCTGCGAACCGCATGACATGGAGATACGAAACACAGAGAGAAGAGTACGTGCACGCATGGTTATTTTGTGGTTAGCTAGCATGCCAAAGCTCGAGATAGAAAAGTAATAATTAAATAAACAGACATATAAGCTTAGCCTATATATAAACTACAATACACGGGACATTAAAAAAGCATGAAATCAGTATTATATACGTATAAACATGCCATGCACATGGTATATACAGCAGCCCTTGTAATGTTATTATAAGCCATGCAATATATTTGCAACCCTACTTTACTTTACAGGTGCCACTTTTACTACTCTGAATTTTTTTACTCGCTGCTGACCTGCTGTTACATCAGACAGCATTCATTCACATGTGGCAAACGAGGACAGAAAAAATGTGCGGAACGGATCCGATCTCCAAACCAAACAGGCTGTAAATTCATGTACTGTACATAGCTTGCCAGCTCGGGATGGTATCCGAAAAATCATCAGCTCACCCTGCACATGCGCTTTTCCCTGGGCGGCTCAACGGAAAGGATCGGTTTGCATCGCTGGAGAAGCGCTGCACGTCGCCGTCCAGATCGATCTCCCCTGCCTCCACTGTATAAATAGACCCCCCAAGCTCACCGCAACATTCATCAAGCCCAAGCTCAGTGACCACTCACTAGAGAGCAAGCCAGTGAGGTCCCTGAGAGTGAGAGCGTAGCCAGCCAGCCACAATGGCCGGGAACGCGCTAGCCAACTATGTCCAGGTCTACGTCATGCTCCCGGTAAGCTGCTTAAGAATCATGCGATGCAACTGCAGCATTGTTAGCATACCGCTACCAGTATATATAACGAACAAACGAAGAGATCGACCTAAACGAATCATGACAATCCGAAAAAGGAAAGATTAAGCTGAATGATTTACCTTTTTTTTCCAACTCTTGGCTTCCGGACATGCAGCTGGATGTCATCACTGTGGACAACACGTTCGAGAAGGAGGACGAGACGAGGGCGCAGCTGAAGAAGCTGACGAAGGCCGGCGTCGACGGGGTCATGATCGACGTCTGGTGGGGGCTGGTGGAGGGGAAGGAGCCGGGGGTCTACGACTGGAGCGCCTACAAGCAGGTCTTCAAGCTGGTGCAGGAGGCCGGGCTCAAGCTGCAGGCCATCATGTCGTGCCACCAGTGCGGCGGCAACATCGGCGACGTCGTCAACATCCCGATCCCACAGTGGGTGCGGGACGTCGGCAAGGACAACCCCGACATCTTCTACACCAACAGGGAAGGGCTGAGGAACATCGAGTATCTCACGCTTGGGGTGGACGACCAGCCTCTCTTCCATGGGAGAACTGCCATTCAGGTCAGCTCACTTGAAACTCTTCTCACCTCTTGGTGTAGCTAGCACATGCGGAAGGGAAGAAACATGGTAAATCAGGCCAACTTCTCTGATCTTGACGTGTGAGTGTGACCTGGGGTCGGTCTCTTCTCTGTCTGTGGCAGCTGTATGCTGATTACATGAAGAGCTTCAGGGAGAACATGGTAGATTTCTTGGATGCTGGTGTCATTGTGGACATTGAGGTGGGACTTGGCCCTGCTGGTGAGATGAGGTACCCCTCATATCCCCAAAGTCAGGGATGGGTGTTCCCAGGCATTGGAGAATTCATAGTGAGTTCTCTTTCCAAAAACACATATTCTTCAGTTTTTTTTTTGTTACAAAACAAAAGGGGATTCGTCTCCATGTGATGAACAAAGACACTCTTAATCTTGGTCCATGCGTTGATTTACAAAAAAAAATGAAGAAAAAAGGGTATAAAAGTGATTAAATCAAAGAGACACTTGAATAAATTAACAATCTGACTGATCAGGCCAGGGATGCCTTAAAAGTCGTACTGTGCTTGAAGCAAAGCCAAGACGACAATTAAGAACAAAACCGGATGAAATCAAATGCTTGATAAACTGATGACAAGGAATAAATAAAACGGGCTTCCTTTGAAGAAAATGAAATAAAACACGTGCCAACTAATATAAATATGTCATTACCAGCAGAGGACTACACTTTAAAGGCTACAATTGTTAATAAAGCAATAAAATAAAACTGCAGTGCTATGATAAGTACCTGCAAGCAGACTTCAAAGCAGCAGCAGCAGAGGCTGGGCATCCTGAGTGGGGTTTGCCTGATGATGCTGGGGAGTACAATGACACTCCTGAGAAGACCCAGTTCTTTGCGGATAACGGAACATACCAGACCGACAAGGGGAAGTTCTTCCTCACATGGTACTCCAACAAACTGATCAAGCACGGTGATAAGATCTTGGATGAAGCAAACAAGGTCTTCCTGGGATGCACGGTGCAGCTGGCAATCAAAGTAAGTACCATGATGAATAACACCTGGCTTTAATTTTTCCCATGATTTTAATGAACAAGTCTTTGCATATAACAATAATAAAGGTACAAGGTTTACTAGAGGCTACAACACAAACTAAGAACTAACCTATGGGTGATTGAAACATAGACATCACATGTGCTAATATTTGTTTGCAGGTCTCTGGCATACACTGGTGGTACACGGTTCCAAACCATGCAGCTGAGCTCACTGCCGGATACTACAACTTAGATGACAGAGATGGCTACAGAACCATAGCACACATGCTAACAAGGCATCCTGCTAACATGAACTTCACTTGTGCTGAGATGAGGGACAGTGAGCAGAGTTCAGAGGCGAAAAGTGCACCAGAGGAACTGGTTCAACAGGTTTAAGCCATCGGTCACTTGTCTGTATTCTCCTTTAACGGATCACAAAAGGCACTTCTCAATTATTAACAAAAATTCTGGTGCAAACTATAAAAATGGCAGGTGCTGAGTGCGGATGGAGAGAGGGCCTAAATCTGGCATGTGAAAATGCACTCAGTCGATACGATGCAACAGGTTACAACACCATCCTCAGGAATGCAAGACCCCAAGGCATCAACAAGAATGGCTCTCCAGAACACAAGTTGCATGGATTCACCTACCTCCGAGTATCTGATGAACTGTTCGAGGGAGACAACTACACCACTTTCAAAACTTTTGTCAGGAGAATGCATGCTAACCTGGTGAGTAACACCCTTGAAAATCTAGACGTTCATAATTGGTTTGAGCTACACACTGACAGAGTATATAAAAATTATTTCAGGGTTATAATCCAAATGTCGATCCTGTTGCACCATTGAAAAGATCAAAGCCAGAGATACCAATTGAAGAAATCCTAGAAGTAGCACAGCCAAGATTGGAGCCATTTCCCTTCCAGAAGAACACAGACCTACCAGTATAAACACTCCAACGATGCGAGCTACAGGAAGGATCACGAGGCACTTTAAAAATCAAGATAAACATGAAGTAAGCCTATTGTCGAGCAGTAGGCTAGTAACTAAATAAAATGCTGTGCGGAGCATATTATGGTCACGTATTGCACCAATAATCTTGTGTTGTTAAACATGAGGCTTGATGATTTTCTGATGAAGTGTAATACCCTTGGCCTTCCTGTTGTTGTATGTATTTGGGCCAATGAATAAAAAATGTGGCTTTGTGGGTTATTTACCGTGTCATTGGAGAGTATGTGTGGTTTACAAGTGTTTCAAATAGTTCTACATGCACAATCTGCTCACCATAAAAATAAATCATTGCACAGCATCAAGAGAATAACAATGGTTCACAAAAAATAATCAAAACAAGTAGTTGGCTGTACAAAGTGATGTGTAACCGAAATGATGTTATCATGAAAGAATAAATAAAATGTGCTGCGAAACTAAGAGAGCACCATGGTTGTAGATTATTTGGACCATCTATTTCCTATGTGTCAGTTTTATGTACACAAAGAGACAACAATCCGGAATGCAATATCTACATTGGAAAGAATACAAACCTTTCATGTAACTGAAAAGATTAGTTTGCTTCACCTCAACACCAAAGCCAAAGATGTCTCAAATTTGCAGAAAACGTGTACTATGTATTGTGGAATCATGCAACCGGTGCTCGAACTTGAAGTAAAAAAAAAAAGGATCGAACTAGAGGATTGACGGATCGACCGCTTGGTTAGTAGGGGGCGGCATTGAACACCCTGCCAATCCAGTGCTCAAACTTAGACACACAAAGCCTTAAATAAAAGCCAGATGACCTGACATTATTTGTTGGAAAAAATACTACCAGGCCCGCTCTCCTAGAAAATGCTACAAGATTTGTCAGCAGATTCGTCAAGAGAAGTACGTACAGGAGTTGTCTTTGGAGTGAGGAGAGAAACAAAGTAGCAGAGCAACAATAACAACCTGTTTTCATCCAGATCGGTGAGCTCGCTAGGGCATACATGTTACATGCTATTTGATTACTGATAGGGCAACCAAATTTAGGCTACATGAATCATCCTTGTAGGTATTTAACCAAATGGAAGGAAGAGTGTCAGGGAGGAACACCTGTAGCTAGACCAGAAAATGGGTCTATCAGAACATGTTATATGGCTGATCCCACCCAAGTTCAGCAAATCACAGAAGTACAACATGGAGAAAATAAAAATCCCTACATATTGTGGCTCACACATATCCGTGCCAGATATCCGATTGCTTTTGATACTGAAAATCTCATATAGCAGCTTGAGCGTCACAAACAATACGCAATACGGTGTGTGGTATGCTGTGACTGAAGGTTAACGCTACTGCTTCAGTTAAGCGCCAGCAGGCCACAGTGGTCAGTGCGGCCACGCACGGGCCTTGACTTGGATTTAATTGATTGATGGATGGATGGATGGAACTACTCGCAACTCATGATTCAGTTAAGCGCTAGCAGATTGAGCCTGGGACCAGCGCGGCCGACTAACCTGCGTGACGGCGTGGGCTCGGTAGCGACTCGCGAGCCCGCCTGCGCCTTCGCCCTTCCAGCTCCGCGCCCACCACTGTACGCGGCGCTCAGCGCTCGAGCCGAGCATCGGAGGCGGCGCTGCCGCCGCAACCCGCCACTGCGAGAAGGCAGAGGAATAGAGGATTGTTCGTCAGGCTCAGCCGCTCAGGCGGCCGGGGCCTGCGGTCTGCCGTCTGCCGTCTGCCTCGCCACTCGCCGGGCCCAGTGTATCTTATATTCCGATCGAACGGTCCGGGCACCAAAGGGGAGCATCGGCAAATCATCCGACGGCTCCAGCCGTGTGTCGTTTCTCAAGTACTCGTAATATTCTTTTGCTAAAACTATTTTGGCACATGTGCTGCACAAAAGGTTTTCCTCGCTGGAACGTGTTTCATTGACGCCATATATACCCCCATCCATCAATCTGCGTGGTATATGAAAACTCAGCATGCAGACTTAAAGTAACAAAATCAGTAGGGCTTGTGCTTGTAATTAGTTTAATCCACATGACCATATGTGTCGGGGTAGATTGAGGCGAAAATTAAACTAACTTACATCCCGATACATATGAACTAAGTTGAATACGATGGATTAAAAACAAATCATAATGACTTGGGCGATGACGGAGGCATGGCGCCGGCCTTGCTCGGCAATCCCATGGAGTTCAGCACGGCTTGAAAAGGCGAGGACTCGGGGGATGAGGCGCGGTCATGAAGCTCGGGGAGGCCATCAAGATTTAGTGACCCTAAACCGATTTCAAGTTCAAAATTGGTGCGTTTTTTTTGGCAATGAAGAAGTGTGAAACCATTTTCTGGCGACGGAGCGGGCGGGCCATTTGGGTGCCCACTTTTTTTATAACTCGTGCGTTTGGTTGGTTTGTTTCACCGGGCTACTGAAATGACGCTGCATACATGGATACGGCGCACAATGCTCGCTGCTCAATGCTTCATTGCCCCTCTACCTCGCTCTCGAAGATTCCTTGGTATATGCAAAACTGGCTTCCACGCCTAAGAAAAGAGAATGGAGGGAGTATACATTTATTAGAGGTCACCGGTATGACCGAAAATCATGAAATTTGGCTGAAATGTCAGACCTTGCTGCCGACTCATATCAAGTGGGGACGCTTCTAAAGCTGTAGCAAACTACACAGTCGCCCATGGCATAGGCTTGAGATGCTCAATCATATGCTTAGGGCTTTGGCAAGACTAAGCCCGAAGCCAATTTGTAATGTACATCATTCATCCCAAATTGTAAGTTATTTTGTTTTTTATATATAATTTTATTTTGCACCTAGATATACCCCCTCCGTCCCAGAAAGAATGTAATTCTAGCACATTGTCATGTTTTAGTATCTTAAGTTTGATCAATTATAGATAAAAAAATATCAATATTTATGATATCAAATAAATATTATTAGATTAGTTATGAAATGTATTTTCATCGTAAATTGATTTGGAGTAATAAATGTGAATATCATTTACTAGAAACTTGGTC